GCACTAGTAAAAAATACGATTTTCCTGCCAAATTTAATCACGTAAGGTCATAAGGTCTACTAATAGACTCCTGTGGCTAAGCACTAGCAGAGCCATCTATGTGCAGAGATATTTTACAAACATGAGCACAGCATTGGCTTAACTGACTTAACAGTAAGCGGCTGCCTCAATCTGACCTCTTACCTGGCAAGGCTGCAAGGAAAAATAGATTCTCATAATCTGACCCCACTATATAAGTCTAATTTAAGTAGACCTCATTCATGGCAATAAATTCCATACATCCAACTTTGTTTTTTGCATATATGCTACACAATATGGAAAATAAATAATTGGCAGATGATCATCATAACCAAAATGGAGCTATCACCACCAGCGAACGAGAAAATTCTCTATGAAGGATACACCTACACTTTGGGCTTTATATCTGGCACATCAATAGATCATAAATAATGATGGATAAGCAAAAAAGTAAACAGTAATGAAACATAATATATAATCATTCTAAATCATAACCTTTAGTAGCAAACTATAAGCAGAGAAATACCCACATGCTCAAAACCACTAGTTGGGAAACACCCACACACATGAAAACATGAGTATGAAAATGTCTGCCTGCAAAATCATACAACAGGGAAATGTCTGGCTTCATAAAAACAGGGAAATGCCCGCTTTGCCAAAAAGAGTGGTAGGGGAAGAGTCCTGTAAATGTCCAACTTTTGTAAAAGCCATTCAAAAACAGAAAAATACAATATTGCGAACCATGAAATAAGAGAGAGCTATTGATCTCATCTTTGAAGGTTATACCTTTTGTCTTAAAAAAAAGAAAATATGTCCTTTCACATTCTATATGGTAAAAGATGTTTTAAGAAGAACACGAGACAGAAAATGTCATTATTTATCCAAGGAATACCTTGTCACTTTCTTTCATCATCCTGTATTTTTATAAATTGTATTTTTACAGGATATATGTTTTTCTTGAAGCTGGAAACTAAAGTATAAAACAAGTTCTTCATGAAACTTACTATATTCTGATTTTTGTTTCCTACAAATCTGATTTTTAAGTCAACATGCTCATACTCACAAAATAAAATAAAATCATGATACAAAAAATGAAAAACATATTTTATCATTACTTTTTATTTTCACATTTATCATCAACTAAAATTCAGCTTGTATTTACATGGTTGAATTCCTTTTTCAGTGCCTGCAAAAACGGTGAATAATATAACACAGGTTTGGTTTTACACACATACCTGTCACCAGTGTATAAATGTAAATATGAGCAATATACTACATTTGTAATATTAAAATAAACCTCAAACCTGCACATTCAGGGTGTGTACAATTAGCACACAAGCCCTTTAGTATTTCAATAGTGTATGACATGAATAAGAGAAAATGAACTAAAGCAAATAACTCATAAATAAAAGCTTACTGCTGTAAATATGCACTTTTCAGGACATCATGCTACAAAAGATACAAATTTCAATCACATTAACGGACATTTATATTTTATATAAACTAAGCAAAGTATCTGAAGGGTTATACCATTCATATTCAACATAAATACACAAATTATTTTATGTGAAGCTATAAATACGGTTCATGCAATTTTCGTCTAAGTGATCACACAACATTACTGCATCTATTTTAAAAATCAAAAACAAAATATTTACACCTGCAAATACAAGAAATTATCAATATACAGAGGTCTGTATATCCAGTCAACCTCATTTAGCAGTAGGGAGGTTTATTTGTGAGGATTATTAAAGTTCATGCTAATCGTTCTATCTATGATGTATTTACAACAAATCTGGTTCGATGTAAAAAAATACAAACTTTGTGATGCTCAGAGGAAGCAAAAAGTCTATACACATGATCTGTTCACAAATTTGTTTTTCACATTCTTGATTCAACTGCCACTTCACTGTGATGCACAGTTTCCTTACCAAAGAGCTGAAAATAGTAGAGCAAAAGCAAATAGCTGATGGAAAATGTACACAAATAATAACAAACTCTTACTGACCAAGTTACATATCTCTTATAGCAGTTACCACTTCTATTCCAATGGAGTAAATTCATAACTGATTATGATGTAAGAGCAAAAATGGACTTGAAATATTCAAGTAAAACCATACCCTGTACTCCTGCAGTTTCAAGCTAACATTATATATGTTTAAATTCTAACCACTTGCATACTTACCACATACATAGTTCTCACAATACCTTTCTCCTCTCCATATAACAGCTTTGACAAATATCATTTAAACCATTATGTATATTTTGCTTCATACCACCGGAACAGCTACTATATAATGAATCATAGACATGCACAGCAATATAGGTCAAATAAAAAGACCTTGTCCATCATTTAATGCCCACAAAACTGTAATGCAATGCTGTTAGTGCATATGAAACTCATTGTTCATAGAGAAATGTAAACATACGGTCAGTCAATTTCCTATTACCCTCTTCAGTGAAGCTATAATTAAGCTACCAAACCTAGTTCATATTAATTGTAAACTTTCAGATATTAATAACAACAAGAATAATATTAGATCATATGTCCTAAATGAAGCCACAAATTCCCCTCTTTTATATTGAACTAAACCATATCTTGAACAAAATATATACATAAATCTATATACTTCAAAGTGCACTCCATTACATGTATTACTCTAACAGTATTTGGGATGCACATACACAGTGTACACTTTGCTGTGTAATAATAAAGAAACACACCTACAAATGTGTAACTGAAGATAAAAACATTTTTATGGGTAAATGGTCTACAAGCTATTAATTATGCACTGAAACAGATACTTCCAAACAGACAGTTATATACATAACATAACATCACAGAATGACTGAATAAAAAATAAAAAAACTCATTGCTTAGTAAATAAAGTAAAAAAAAAAATATAAGCATACATTTCAGAAGCATCGTGCAAGATCAATCTGTATTCAAAATATTGCTGCAGGAAAACTCTGAATGCAGAAACCTGTTATCGAAGGCATAACCCTGAAAGAGATTACATCATGACTTTACTGTTAAAAAAAAACAAACTCACTAGCACACAATCACTCACTCAACCATTCTTCTTTCTGCTTCAACCTACACTTGTTCCTCATGTCTTCAGGTATTGTTACTGGCATCTACCCGTGTCTCAGTCAATCTGCTTTCATTCCCTTGTAGCCCTGTCATTTGGACCCTCATGATCTCTTCACAGCTGGTCTTCCCATTAACTCCTATCCAATCAAACCCTCTTTATGAATAATTATTAAGATCACGATGACCATAATGAGGATCAGGAATAGAGAGAAATGGAGGAGCGAAAGTGAGAGTAAGTGAAAGGGATAAGAGAGTTAGAGTGGATGAAAGAGATGTGAGAGAGAGAGAGAGAGAGAGAGAGAGAGAGAGAGAGAGAGAGAGAGAGAGAGAGAGAGAGAGAGAGAGAGAGAGAGAGAGAGAGAGAGAGAGAGAGAGACAGACACAAAGAGAGAGAGAGACAGACACAAAGAGAGAGAGAGAGACAGACACAAAGAGAGAGAGAGAGACAGACACAAAGAGAGAGAGAGACAGACACAAAGAGAGAGAGACAGACACAAAGAGAGAGAGAGAGAGAGACACACAAAGAGAGAGAGAGAGAGACAGACACAAAGAGAGAGAGAGACAGACACAAAGAGAGAGAGACAGACACAAAGAGAGAGAGAGAGAGAGAGAGAGAGAGAGAGAGAGAGAGAGAGAGTGAGTGAGTGAGTGAGTGAGTGAGTGAGTGTGTGTGTGTGTGTGTGTGTGTGTGTGTGTGTGTGTGTGTGTGTGTGTGTGTGTGTGTGAGAGTGTGTGTGAGAGAGAGTGTGTGTGAGAGAGAGTGTGTGTGAGAGAGTGTGTGTGTGAGAGAGAGTGTGTGTGAGAGAGAGTGTGTGAGAGAGTGTGTGTGTGAGTGTGTGAGAGAGAATGTGTGTGAGTGTGTGAGAGTGTGTGAGAGAGAGTGTGTGTGAGTGTGTGAGAGAGAGTGTGTGTGAGTGTGTGAGAGAGTGTGTGTGTGAGAGAGTGTGTGTGAGAGAGAGTGTGTGTGAGAGAGAGTGTGTGTGAGAGAGAGTGTGTGTGAGAGAGTGTGTGTGTGAGAGAGTGTGTGTGAGAGAGAGTGTGTGTGAGAGAGAGTGAGTGTGAGAGAGTGTGTGTGTGAGAGAGTGTGTGTGAGAGAGAGTGTGTGTGAGAGAGAGTGTGTGTGAGAGAGTGTGTGTGTGTGTTTGTGTGTTTGTGTTTGCACGACTCCAGTTATACATTGCAAAACATCCATTTGGGCAACATCCAACCATATTCATGGTGTTAAAAGGTTGCATCAACACAACTGTGCATGCCTGGCAATCAACCCATCATTGGGCATTTTTGACAGGTAAACTAGTGTATCTCCTGTGGCCTAACTTGAACAACACCAGCCAATAGTCAAATTTCACTTAACTGCTTATCACTGACTCAGCCATATGGACAACAGCCATGAATGTGCTCAACAGACTTAGCATGTAGACGTAGCTTTTGGTTGTAACAGAGTTTGGAAATTCTGATTAGTGAATAGGATCTAGTGAATGCAACAGCAACAACCTTATTTCTCTTTTATACAAAGCTGCCAAGTGTATAACATTACTATACACATAATACATAAAATACAGATGTCTTGATAGTCAAAAGTAATGCCTATGTTATTGGCTTATATATGCATTGTACTGCCTTTTCTATCATTTCTTTAATGAGATCTTTCCCTACCCATCACTAAAAAGCTTCCTGTATACCAGTGTATTCTTCAACTCATATATTGGATCATTTTACAGTTTTACTTGTCTCTTGAGAGTTGGAGCACTTACCATGAAGGGCAGCTTGTATTGTATATTTTCAAAAAATTATTAAATCATACATAAACACACACACACACACACACACACACACACACATATATATATATATATATATACACGCAAATGTGTGTACATGTATGTATGTATGTATGTAAATGTATGTATGTATGTATGTAAATGTATGTATATATGTATGCATGTATATATATATAATATATATGTATATATGTATGCATGTATATATATATATAATATATATATATACATATATATTATATATATAGCTTTACATTATATATAAACACATTATGTATGTATGTATATATGTATGTACACACGTATATGTATGTATATGCATGTATATGTATGTGTGTGTGTGTCTGCACAAGAAATTTTCTTTCCCAATATGAGTAAGTTTGTAGTTTCAAATGAATGTCTCACTTGTAAATATTCTTTTAAAATGAAATTCATATATACTATTGAATATCTGAATAATCTAAGTAAATCCATTGAGATTATAAATATTTTGAATTGTCTTAAAAAGATATTCATATACATCATTGAATATCTATATCATCTGTGAAAATACACTGAGAATATAAATTTTAAAAAAAGAAAAGAAAAGAAAAAAATCTGGCAAACACTGGTATAGAGTTAAGGCACTCAAATAAATTACATTTACTGTCAGTTGTTGCCTTACATTTCAATTTTCTTTTCCTCCTTAGACCATTTTCAAAGCTGTGATTCTGTTACGGCCCACACTGAACATTCTTCTAAGTTGAAACTTCTACTAATAGTACTAACCAGATGCAATTCATCCAATCATTTTGTCAATTCATATGCATTTGTCTTTAAACAGTGGTGACACATTCAAGAGGTTAAATCTTGGACACTTGCCTGTATCTGTAGTACCAAATTTTTCATTGGCATTCAAAATATCATGCACTCTCTTCACTAAGGGGAACTCTCCAATCATGCACACTGAACAACAGCCGAGTTCTGACTCCGAAAGTCTTTGGTTTATGATTTTATGATTATTCTTTTCCCATAAGAATATGAGCAAAAATATATTCACATTGCTAAAATGGATATTCTGAATAATTACATACACATTTTACAAATTAAATTCATATCAATTTCATTAGACATAATACTTCAATTTACAGCGGACTTTCAGAAAAGTTCTCATTCTTGTAAATGAATGTGTCATAACACCTTTATTTAACATCATTCAATTATTTCTTTGCAATCTTTTGAGTTGATACAGCAGACTGTGATGTTAGTGGAGTTGGTAAAACATACTGCAACTGCTGTCCAGCTGAATAGACTGTGGTGTAGACATAGCCTGGATATCGCAATACTCCTGGGGAGACTCCACTTAATCCACTTATTGCTGCTTGTGGCTGAGTACCAGTCCCTGACTGTAAGACCATTCCACCAGGCACTGCAACAGCACCCTGCTGGCCTGATGTATAGGCTGTAAAGATTATAATAAAATATCAGTCAAACATGCATGGTAACCTTTACCATCTATTTTGCTGATCTGTCTGTGTCACGCATGTGGTAATACACAAGTAGCTGAGATATGAGAGAGAAACCAAGAAACCATGAAAATTGTATTACACAAAACATTTAAAGTTACATCAAACAAAACAAAACACATACCATATGCTTGCTGCGGCTGTTGCGTATAGATTACAGCTGTTCCTGGAGCAGTGTAACTATAATGGGTGTAGCCAGGATACAGTTTGATGGCAGCAAGAGGTGGTGGTGAGCCAGGTGGTGGTGGTGGAGGTGAGTCATTGTCGTCATCATTCACATTATACTAAATAAAAAAATAAAAGTATCAGTCACTGCCATTAGAAGGAAGGATAAGAGCCAGACATGATATGAAAATATAAAGGCTAACTAAAGAGATGAGATAGATAAGGACCTAAAACTCATGAACCACAACAATAATTATAATACTGTTTATATTTGCTAAACACTGAACTACACATCTTACTTAACGGTCTGACATATCTCATTTCCAAAGACATTCATTGGTTTATTATTTTCAGAAAGACCAAAAGCTTGAACTGTTAAACATTCAGATGGTAAAAAAGAAACAATTTAGTGCCTATGGCCTTTCAGATATGGTGTTTCATCAATATCTAGTTTAGAGTGAATGTTAGAGATTACACCTCCTCTCTTCAATCAAACATTTCTGAAGTTAAATTACTCAATCAATCATTTCCTGAAATGCTTTGGTATCTTTGCTGACTATTTATTTACTCTGTGTTCTTGATTGACTAAGCACACTAAACAAGAGCTACATATAGTGTACTGTTGGCTTATTTTGACATCTTAAACTGGTAATAAATACCTACCTGTTTTATGATTTTTACTTTGACTTTCCGCTTCTTGCGCAGTTTCTTTTCCTTGGTCTTAGTGGCCTTTGCTGTTGGGGGAGGTGGGGAGTGGATTTCCTCACCACCAGAAGGAGATGTCCCTTCCCCAGGCAGGATTCCATCTGCAAACTTGACCGCTTTGGGACGATAATCAACACGATATCTGTAAAGAAAAAAGTATGATAGTATGAGTTAATCTTAAGCCAATGTGTGCAGGCTTTTTTGGCAGCCATGCAGTCTGCCAAACAGGTACATGTATATGGGCCACATCTTTAGGGATGCCATGGCATGGCATCGTGGTAGATACCACCCACAAACAAGGAGTTAAATTAATTAGAAATGATGAATGAAAACTATATATAACACACACGTTCTTTCTTTTACCATAAGAACAACAACCAAATAACATAACATAATTCAAAATCATATCTCCATGCCCAGAAATCTTATACCTGTAACTTGGGCTCATGAGGATGCCCTTCTCAGCAGGCGGCAGAGGGACAGGTAGGAGCCGCCGTTTTTTCCTCTCACCAGACTCATCGTCCTCATCCTCCTCCTCATCATCATCTCCAAGAACCTCATACTCAGGTACAGGAGAACCAATCACTGGAACTTCTGACATGGCTTCCTGTACAGACAATAAATTTTTTAGGTAATTTACAGGAATCATTTGGCCTGAAAGCTGATGCAAATGACTGTATCATAATAATGATACAACAGTAATAACAATAATAATAATATCACCAATAGTAACAACAATAATAATAATAATAATAATAATAATAATAATAATAATAATAATGACACTGGTAACAATAATGACAATAATAATAATAAGAGGCTGATAACAAAATGCAAAAAAATCTATGTATATACTATTAATGCTTGTGTATCTCTCAAAATTTTAAGGCCAAACTTTTAGGCCCAAAACTGGGGGTTAATCTATTCATGAGGAAAGCTTTATCAGGTTGAAATCTATTGTCATAGATGATTGAGTATTGAGCTTCAGATATGAAAACTATTTACCAGTTACTTCTAGTAACCCAATATTCTTAAAATATCTATCAACTACTAAGGACAAAAGCTACATTGTCTTAACCCATTCACGCCGGGTGTCACGTATACGTGACAGGCCTACTGTGAGTTTACTTGTTTGATTGTTTACAAACACTTGCTCCACTTGCACTTGTACTGCCTGTCTCGTCTGTTTACCCTTTTCTTTAATTTACGAAATTATTTTGTTATCTTATTTTGCTGTTACTAATGTTTATAACATTAGAGTAATTATAATGTTTATAATAAAAATAACCATCGATATTCATAGCATTAGTAAAAATACATTTTCCCGCCAAATGAAATCCGGTAAAGCAGAGCCATCTAGTGTAGAGAAATTTCATTAAAAAATATAAAAAATGAGCACAGCATTTCCCCCATTTTTTGTTCATTTTTACCCGGCGCGAATGGGTTAAGTATAAGCTTACAATATTATAATCAGACTAATTCAAAGACCTACAAAACTAGCACATTTTCCCCCAATCCCTGACAGCTAACCACCCTCATCAGTTGACTAGATATTCTCATAAGCACACATTTCAAGGAATCTGTTGTTTGTGTATGAAAACTTCAACAACACTGGAAAGTCCCATTCAGAAATATGGGCATTTATTCAAAACAGTACCAAATTACACACAGGGAAATAAAGTGAATCAAAGTGTTATCCAAAACAAGTCAGATATTTTGATTAATTCTTATATTTTTTGTTTCCATGTAAAACAAAATTATTGCACATTCATGGGCTTGTGCCATTATTCATAACATTTTTTGTTTTTGTTTTTGCACTGCACATAACAAGTACTGACTCCCATTTTAATGCAATGTATTATTAGTGCATACTATTAAATATTTTTGCTTACTTACTGAAACCTGTTATAAAATGAAATACTTATGAAAGTAATTAGACAGAATAGAAATAGCTTTATCCACACTCTATCTTCCTCTGTCCAGATATAGAAAGATTTTTAAAAAGTAGCGTCTCAAAGTTGGTTCTTCATTCTCCACCAACTTACCCTAATGAGAACTTCATCCTCAGTGTCTGACAGTTGTTTTTCTAACTCTTCTTGCTGTGCCAGATCCCTCTCCCTCTGCCTATCCCTCTCGCGCTGTCTCGCCTCACGCCTGGCTTCTCTTTCCCGCCTCCTCTTTTCCTTCCTCTCTCTTCTTTCTTGCTTGGCTTTTTCCTTCTCAGCGGCAGCCACTTCTGGGTCTATGACAGTGTCAGTAATGCCAGACATCTGCTGCGGAAATAAAAATGGAACCAGGTATTAGCTAGGGTCGCAACTGACCTTACATGATAATATTTACACTGACTATGCTGAAATATAGCTAGGACCCATTACTTCATTATTTCAGGGAAATGACCTGAGCACTTTTTAAAAATTAGAGAAAAAAATATTTGATTTTGTCAAAAAATAAAAGTAAGAAGAGGGAAGAAAAAAGAGGGAGAGGGAAAGAGAAAGAGTTATCTAGAGTAGACAGATTAGGCTGTAATTTTTTGGCTCTGCGAAGGTCCTGGTATAGCTTTCTTCCTTCAGGAAATCTGTGGCTAGACTTTGTCCATGGTACTTTTCACATCAATCATATTTTCATGGTGACTTTCCAAAGATTGGGATTCTCACTATACTTAAAAACTACTTTTTATATATTTCATATATTGCAATTCCAGAGCTCATTTTACAGGGCAAAAAATCATGTCCTCAAAGTAGTTTAACAAAGGCTAAAAATTACAATGCTGTATATGGTAAAAAAGAAAAGAAAGTAAGAAAGAAGAAATAAAAAGTGTGTATATATGTATGTGTGTGTATGTATATATGTGTATAAATATATGTGTGTGTGTGTATATATATATATATATATAATATATATATATATATATATATATATATAGTATATATATATATATATATATAGAGATGTAACAGATATATATACAATATATAATATTATAGAGATATATATATATATATATATCATATAGATATAATATATATAAGAATATATATATAATATAATATATATATATGTACATATATAGGGACATATACACATATAGATATACACATATAGATATACACATATAGATATACACATATAGATATACACATATAGATATACACATATAGATATACACATATAG